TTAGAGCTCCTTCCAAAGAATGCGGAGACTTTTAAGTCTGTAAATAGAATGGATCTAGTAAGGCAAAATTAAAAAAAAAAAAAAAAAAAGAATGGCAGGGAGGGCAAATATTACTAAAAAACAGCGTTTAGATCTATGAGCAATGGCTTAAAATACTGAAATGACAGGTTGATTGATGTCCAGTGATAAGGTGCATCTCATAAAGCAGGGAAGGGCATACTTGTCTGGCCTTATATTACTGAAGAGACAGGGAGAAAGGAAAACAAACAAAACTAAACTCTGAATTTAGTTACTACTCAGAGCTTTAAGTCTGAAATGAAAAGAGAAAACAAGTGAGGGTAGGCTATCAATTGTTCACATGAGAAAATAACTGAGAGTGAAAAACTGCATTTATAGCTTCAGATACATTTATACCTGACATTTCTTTATACAGGCAGTATATTGTGGCTGTCAGAGCATCAACTCTGGAGTCAGACTCCCTAGGTTTAAAAACTTCTGTCATTCATGTATCATATGATCTCACTGATATGAGGAATTCTTAATCGCAGGAATCAAACTGAAGGTTGTTGGAGTGGGGGGTGGGGTGGGAGGGATGGGGTGACTGGGTGATAGACACTGGGGAGGGTATGTGCTCTGGTAAGCGCTGTGAATTGTGCAAGACTGTTGAATCTCAGATCTGTACCTCTGAAACAAATAATGCAATATATGTTAAGAAAAAAAAAGAAGAAGAAGAAGAAGGTAGCGGGAGGGGAAGAATGAAGCGGGGGAAATCGGAGGGGTAGACGAACCATGAGAGACGATGGACTCTGAAAAACAAACAGGGTTCTAGAGGGGAGGGGGGTGGGAGGATGGGTTAGCCTGGTGGTGGGTATTGAGGAGGGCACATTCTGCATGGAGCACTGGGTGTTGTGCACAAACAATGAATCATGGAACACTTCATCTAAAACTAATGATGTAATGTATGGGGATTAACATAAGAATAAAACAAACAAACAAACAAAAAAAACCCTTCTGTCATTAACCAGCTCTGTCACCTTGGGAAAGTTATTTAATCTTTCCATGCTTTAAGTTCTTCATTTGTAAAACAGGAAAAGTACCTAGCTCATAAGAAATTTTCTATAAATATCTGCTCTTATAACTATTCTTGTGGTGGTGGTTATAGTTGCAATGAACACAGAAAGCATCATAAAGTAAACTTGGAGAATGTGATTAGTAAAAACAATGTAATGAATATTACTGTGATTTAGTGAAAATCACATATTAACTCCTTTAATCCTCAGAAAATTTCTATTGTGTCCATCTTGCAGCTGAAAGACTAGGCCCAGAAACAGTATATAACTTATCCAAAATCACATAAATAATAAATGTCAGAGCCAAACTTTGTAGACAATACAGACCCAGCATTTGTGTTCTTCTCTTAACTCCTACACGGTGATACTAGCTTCCAGGAATGGGACTCATGACAGAATACAGAGATGGACAGAAACTCTCTAGATAGCTACTTGGGGGAAAACTGACCCTTATTTCACATCATACATAGAAATCAATTCCAAATGGATTGTGGATCTAAATACAAAAGGTAGAAGGAAAAAAACCTCTGAAGACACACAAAATTATCTGTATGACTATGAGTAGCAAACTCATTTCTTAAACAACACAAAAAGCACAAACCATTGGAGAATATAAATGAACATATTTCACTTCAGAACTTTTATTCATTAAAATCATTTGAGAGAGATTGCAAGTAAGAAGGTGAAGAAATTTGCTGCACATATAACAAAAAGCTCATAATCAGAAAACTAAAAAACAAAAAGTCATAAACCAATTAAAAATATAGACTTCATGAAAGAGATATCCAAATAGCCAATAAACATACGAAAAAGTGTTCAATCTCACTGGTCATCAGGGAGATGCAAAATGAAACGATGAGATACCACTATACATACACCAGAATGGCTATAATTATAAAAACTGACAGGACCAAGTATTGATAAAGATGTAGAACTATGAGAACTACCAAACATGGCTGGTGAGACTATAAACAACTGATGTGGAAAACAAATTATGACCCAGTATTTCCACTCAAAGGTATACACCCATCAGAAGTACATGTACACCAAAAGATTGCAGCAATATTCAGTGTAGTATTATTCAAAATAGCCCCAAACAGGAAATAACCCAAATGCCTATCAACAACTGACTAGATAAATTGTAGTATGTTCATACAATAGACTACAGTACAATGAAAATGAATGAACTACAGACATGAAGAGGGATAAACGTCATAAACATAACAGTGAAATAGGCTAGACAAAAATGAATACATACTATGATACCATAAAGTTCAAAAACAAGTCAAGACTATGGGATTATTAATCAACACTCCTGAGGTTAACAGGAGTAGAAATTAAGAGGATGTACTATGAGGGCTCTGGGGTGCTGTAATGTTTCTATTTCTTGACTTGGATACATTTAGCTTGTATTATTAATTGAAATGTACATTTATGACTTGGGTTCTTTTTTCTATGTATGTTGTAATAAAAACTGATTTTAAAAATATACTCATGCTATGTCAAAAAAGCACTCTCTGAGCAGCTAGTTGTTTCTCAAAAATATCTTAAAAACAAGGATGTAGTCTGCAAACCATTACATTAGTTTTATATTATCCAAGTCTTATCTTTAAATCACACACACACATATACATACACTCTAGACCTACTATGTGTGGAACCCTAGTATAATCTGTGCTATCTCAAACTAACTGCATTTGAAGAAGCACAGCCTAGCTGATATTTATAAATATTCTGACTTACAGTATGCCAACAGAAGTAATATCCTCTATTATACATAATAAAAATACACTAAAGTTACTTTAAATAATATGATCATGGGGCACTGAATTTTTTTAATCTCCCCAACCTTCTCCAACCAGGAGTACAAAAACAAAGAAAAAGCACGAAAAACAAAATAACAGAAAACAAAGAGAACATCTTCAAAAAAACTACATTACAGGTAATCCTCCAAAACCCTGTAATGTGGTTTTATTCACCAACAGTGGCAGGACCTCCAAAAGATCAATGGCTGTATGATAGGAGTATATATGGTAGGATGGACAACCTACTACTCTACAAGCCTCAGAAATGAAAAAAGTGTGAATTGATGAATCTGCAAATGGCCTGCAAAACCAGGACAGTCTCAAAAGCTCCAAATCAAATGTGACGTTAAACAAGTCTAACAGTCTACAACCTCAAAATCTCTAAAATGTCCAGCAAACACTCTCTTCCAGGAGGAAAAAAACCTCACACTGAAGGATAATCACCAGAAACTGAAACCAAAACAGGGCAGAAACACTAGGGGGAAAAGGGAGAGATGGTTCAGATAAGGGAAAGGAGTAGATGAGAGGAAGGTAGTGATGTCCACAGGCAGCAAATCCCAGAATAAAATAAAATAACAAAATGCAGTATTTCAAGCTGAGAGCAACACCTCAAAATTCAAGATCTATAGAGCTCTAAGAGTAGAACAGAAGGCTGAAGACAAAATCTTTCTGAACCAGACTAGTTCTGAGAAAGACTGTGTATACAGAAAGGTCGTATTTAAATTCTCTATAACAAAAAGGAAGCCATAAAAAGACAAGTTAGGAAAGTTATCCTATCTCCGATGCCCTCACTCCACAAAAACCTTCCCCTAATAAAAACTATCTGATTTAAACAAGGAGAACAGCAAAAACAAAAAGAGAATATGATTAACTCCATAAAAAATTAATACAGAAAATAACAGAAAAAGATTTGAAAGAAAATGAATGACAGAGGAAAGAGGTGAGAAAGGAAGGAAATCTAATAAACTTATAATTAGAGACCTGAAAAAAAACCTTGGGCTATCAAACAGAAAAAATATTTAACACAAAGCAACTCTTCTCAGATTAAAAGAGGATTAAATTTACATATTAAATGGGTCTACTGTGCATTTGGGAAAACTGACCCAATAACAATCAACAAAACATACTGTAGTAAAACTACTAGATTTTAATGATAAAGAAAAAAATTCCTTTGGACATCCGGACAAACAGTCTAAGTCACTTAGGGAAAGAAAATCAGGATGGAATAAGACTTCTTAACAGCAATATTTTATCCTAAAACACAATGGAACAATATGTTTAAAATACTTAAGTAAAGGGCGCCTGGGTGGCTCAGTTGGTTAAGCGACTGCCTTCGGCTCAGGTCATGATCCTGGAGTCCCGGGATCGAGTCCCACGTCGGGCTCCCTGCTCAGCAGGGAGTCTGCCTCTCTCTCTGGCCCTCCCCCCTCTCATGCTCTCTATCTCATTCTCTCTCTCAAATAAATAAATAAAATCTTTAAAAAAAAAAAAATACTTAAGTAAATATAAGCTAAAGGTTGTATAAAAAGCCAAACTATCCCTCAAATATAAAGACTACAGAGAAATAAGTTTATAAACATGCAAGATGTAAGAAGATATTATTTTGCCATGAGCTCTTCCTGAAGAATCTCCTAGGGACAAGCTTCAGAAAATGAAGAAATGAGGGAAGAAGTTTCAGTTAAGATCTGACATGTAAGCAGAGTACAAAAACTTTTTTATATAGTCTGGCTAGTTTACATTTAGGCTTTTCTTCCTCCCTTTTAATTACCTGAGATACTCTAATTAATAATATGTTACACACCCAATCTGCTTCTGAAATACACTGCACAATTTACCTTTTCTGGATTTTTAGAATTACTTTTTATTTGCCAAATGCTCACTACTGAAATTTCCAGATAGTAAGGCTACTTATGGAATCATAACAGGGTAACGGACTTCTTTTGAAAAAAGAAAAAAAATAAGTGATCCTACAAGTTGTGTCCTACACAATTAAAACACATTTGATTAAGACCAAAAGACATAAAAGTCCAATGATAGACATTTGGCTTTGTAGTTTGCTGAAACAAAAACAACTAAGAAATATATTAACTGACCTATATGATAATATAAAATTATCAATACTGACCTGATAAGCTCTGTTTATTTGACTAGCTGCCCAACTAGCATATTTCATGTTGTCCTTTTTTGTTTTTGCACTTGCTTTTGGATTAGAAGCAATATGACTTGCCGACTAAAAACAAAAAAGAAACATCAAAAACAAAATTCCTTTTTTCTAGCCAAGATAATAATAATAATAAAAAAAAGTAAGGGTCATATTTGCAATGCGATAACAAAGAGTACCAAAACAATTTTAAAAATAAAGTGGAATGATATTAGTGTTTAAAAATGAAAATATAGTTTAAAATATAGAATAAAGTGACAAAAAGAGAAAGAGCATCTTAAATACCTAAATTTATTTTATTAGTTATCTACCACAACTGTTAATGGTAAAATTAAATACCTAAATACTGTAGAATATCACTTAAATACTGTAGAATATTGAAGGTCATTATTATTGTTATTAAATTACTATTTCTAGTTCTTTATTACTATATTACTTCAGCTTTCCTATGTCAGAATTATAGAATTATTGAATATTGATGTAAGAAGGAATCTCAAAAATAATTTAGTCCAATTTCCTACATTAACAGGTAAAAAAAAAAATTTAAGTCCAATAGGAGTGATTTGACTTGACCAAAGCAAGTTACTGAAAGCCTTAAAAATAGAAAGAGATCCTCATTTCCAATCTAGTCCTCTTTTCACTTTACCAAGAGTTTCCAAACTATGTTGCACAGCACCAGTTAGAATGACTGCAACTTGATCAATCCATCCTCTCCTTTTAAAAAATGTACTTAAACAAGGGATTGTTAATCTAGGATCCATGAAAGAATCTGTAAACAACCAAAATTAAATACTAATTTTTAAGCATATATTGTATTTCTGGGGAGAGGAAGATCTTTGATCTTATGTTTAAATATATCTGATTCTTAAGAAGATTCATCCATGTGATTTAAAAAAAAAAAATTAAGCCTTTCTTTTATACCTAGCCTGTGTGACAGGCTCTTTCCCACTCTCTCCTCCTCTGTCAGTGAGGAATTTAGGAATTTATTGGCCAAAATCTTATTTTTACACCTGTATGTCTTTAATGTCACCTCTTTCATATGAATTTTAGCAAATGCAGTGATTAAGAGAATGACTCTGGAATCAACTGACGGAGCTGATATCCCAGCTCAATCACTTAGTAAGTCTGTGATCATCTTTCAACAAATTAACTAGACCTCTCTGTGTCTTAGGTTCACTTTCTGTGAAATGGTATTAATAACAGTATCTTCTCAAATAGTTGATATGAGGATTTAAAATTAAAAAAGAGCTTAAAACAATGCCCAGCACATAAAGTGTTATGTATAAAATATCATTAATAATCTATTGTTATACATTTTTTAAATTAATCTTTCATTTATTTGGTAAAAAGAGACAACACCACTACTATACTGTACCTCTAACCTACTACAGTTGGCACTGGTAGATCCAGGAAAAATTTCTTGAAATTCCTTTGAACTATTTTCTAATCATATTTTGCCATTCCTTTCCTAAAAATTATTTCATTTATATTTCTTCCTGCCTCTATTTCTGCAATTGATTCTTTTTCACTGATCCCCGACAAGACATTCATCCAAAAGTCCTTGAAAAGACCAGGATAAATTAAAATTTCAAAGAACTGGCCTATTAAAAAGAGGTTTTCTGATTGTAGGGAGGGGCTTATTTTATGTATATTTTAAAGCTCAGCAAATTCTTCCTCTATTTCCCATAGCTCTTGTTAATTGACTTTTCTAAACTCGTCATTTGGCATACATAAACCATAGAAATATTTAATTACATGCTTACCACAATTTCCAAGCTCTTTTCTGTACCATAAAAAAATTTTAATTTGACAGTAGAGATTTTTTTTGCTAATGTCTTTTATTGCATAGTTTAAAACTATGTCATACAATTATAATTTCAGGTAAGAAATACAAAATAATGTTGGGCATAAACCCAAGAATATCAAAACAATTAAGATACAAATTATGGTTTTGTATCTGTTCCTATTTAATAAAAAGGCAGATTTAAATTCTGATACAATAGAAGATATTTTATAATAAAATGTCAAATAGGATGTATTAACATTTAAAAATAAAACTGCCTTACAAACTATTGCTCATATTTAACGAGAGGAAAAAAATATGCTTATCAACAAAATACAAACAAGAGGGAAGTGACTGGATGGGATAGTTAATGGACTTTAAATGACAGACTTCGTAAAATAACATTAAACATGCACCTCTACTCACCATGTAAAGCCCAAACAAAGCTCTCATATTTCTGTTGTTCAGTTTCAGTGCCTGAGCAAAATACTTTCTTGAAAGTTCGAGGTTTTCAAGTCCACCCTGGGTATATTTAACCTGTTAAAAATTGCAGAGTGCTGAAAACTGTTTATTTTACTACTTTGAAATATAGCATGTTTCATCATACCATAGGCATTAGTAATTGAAACAGATATTCTGTAAACAAATGCAAGATGTTAAAAGAATTCATCTTAAAGTTGTTAAAGCTAAAATTTTAAAGCATAACCTCCCTGAAAAACCTATTCTATGAACATTAAGATCACAGAGTACTTTTTAAAACAAAATGTTGTCAATAAAAAAGCCAATATAATTTCTTTTTCAGCTGCCTTGCTAATGCCTCACGACTTTATATTTTCTATTAGTAGCATTCTAAATCTATACTTACATACTGAGTTGCCCTTTTCTAGTCACCTTGACATTCATTATTAATGAAATGCTTCTAACCTTACAGCATTCAATTGTATTACTATTCTTAATAGTAAGATAAATACTTCTTACTTCTAAAAATATTGATCTTAATATGAATTTCCTAGAATATGGATTTAAAAATCATAATCATTGTAAATGCCTCAGAAGCCATTAAATGGTGACAACTGTGGCATCATTAATTCATGATTAGGAAAGAAAATATACAATAAAAAATACAAAGAATTCACTCTTTTAAGTAAGCACTTTTATTTTTAAAGCCATATTCCCACTATAATATTAAAAATGTAAAGCTTTTACACCTATAGTCAGTTTTCATCAGATGTCTTAAATATTTATATATGTGCCTCACATTAAGGACATATTCTTAGTTCCAAAATAATACCTAACACCAACAAAAATAAAATCATATGCAACTGTTGTTTTTGAAAGCACTTACTTCAGCATACTGCTGACAGTATAAGTGGTTGTGTGGATTAGTCATCATTAGCTCCTCTAAACAAAAGGCTGCTTTAGCATAGCTGAAAAGTATGAAGAGGAGAAATCAATTTTAGAAGTCACATATACCATCTTAGCTAGAATAAAAATAATTAAAAATAATTTAAAGCAATGCTGGAAAATAATTTTAAAACAATTTTAGTGATGTTAGACATTTTATTCCCCAAATTTAAAAGCTTCAGTAATAATATACTTGCTATGCTGAATTCTTAAATACAAATAACAAAGGCTTAAATTCTGAGGCAGCCTATGAACAATCAGTAGATACTACATCCTTAAAACTGGGTCACTATTATGACATCCAAACATTATTCACAACACAGACTTCACAACCTTGGATCAGGTTACATATAAAATAACTTCAAGTCCATTGATCACTGAATAAAATACTCAAATAGCTAAAGTGTAAAGAGGAAATAAACATTTTATTAAATACTATCTATTCACAAAAATCCTTTATTGACACCTATCTACCAACATTCTATTATAAAGACTTTTCATTACTTGTTTGCCAATATGAAATCTAATGAAGTTATAAATTTTTAAACCCATGAAAAATAGATCAAGTTAGTGGTTTTGATATGCACTCTACTACTATTTCATCATGTGGTAAAGAAACAAACATCTTGCTAAAAACCTGAGGAGAGGACTGCTACAAAGGGCTCTGGAAAAATGGTTTTACACCACATGACTGTAATTCCCCTAGATGTATTTTATAAGTTTAAAGCAATGCGAATATCGCCACTATTTATAGGAAATCCTAAAGAACAAAGGTGTTGTAAAATTTATTTCCAGTGAAAGGTGACGACAGTAGCCAACACAAAAAGGCTACCTACAGTTATTTTTGGCATTTATCACCAACACACAAAGCTACCTGTCTTTACACTAAGTCTGATATACTTACTTTTCAAAATATACATCCTGCAGTTTCACATAACGTGTACTAATAACAGCTAACTTGTATTATTAGTGCTCATTATGTATCATGCACTTCTCTAGGTGTGTTATATATATTAATTCATTTAATCCTACCAAAACCCTGGGAAGTAGGAAATTATCACCATTTTATAGTTGAAAAGGCACACAGATGCAAACTGAAACCTAGGCTGTGCCACTGCAGACAGCCTGCTCTTAACCACTGTGCATACTGCCCCTACATACTCCACTCAGTGAAAAACCGTGGTAATGATGGCAGTGATGAAGAGATCAATGTAACATAAAAATGGGTACAACAATCAAACCCAAAGGGCCTGAGAATCCAAAAACACCCTATAGATTACCAAAAATCATAGCATTTTAGATGTATATATACACACTGTTATCAAGGATCATACAGCTATTTAGCCTTTTTCATTTTTATACCCAAAACCTCGCACTGGTTCCTGACATGTGATAGGTATATAATAAATGCCTGAACAAATGACTGAATAGATGTCTAGAACAAAAGTATTACAACTACCTATCTGATATATATTTATCATTCTATAAAAGAAGAAAGTGGTCTCTACCTTAAACACTCAACTTTATCAGAAAGACAGTTCCTTCTAAATATGTTCCTTTTACTGAAGTGATGCAAAAATTCATATTAATGCTAAGAATAAATGTTCTTACAGATTTAAATGGGTTGAGCACAACTGTGACTCTGGTTTTTATACAAAATAAAGTAAGATAAAATAGGCAGGTATGAGTTTCTACTGAAAAATAAATGCCAAGATATTTTTCTCAGAAATTATTCAGTATCACATACAGAAGAGGATCCCTTGCTTCCAATTTTACAAAGTATAAAATCAAACTAATTTTGTGGATAAAGAACCAAATAAACTTAGAGCTAAAAGGAGAAGATGGTCCAATACAGTTTTCTCCAACAGAGGTTCACTCAAGAGTATTTAAACCATATGGAAAGTGACTAGAGTGACCATTTTCTCAATTCTCCCAAAAATGGGATACATAGCCAATTCCATTTCAAATGCATAAAAAAGTTAATTCATTACATACAATGCCTCAATGATTAGAGAATTAAGATTATTTGAATCTATTTAAAATAACTACTAGTATTAGTATGTTAGAGTCAATAACTAAATAAAGTTTCAAAGTTCTTCTGTTCCTTACAAAAGCATTTGTGTAGGTTACATATCTATCCCTACATTGTTTTATCAACATTATGATTTTTCCTTGTAGGATTTTGATAATTCCGTTTGTTATAGAATTTTATAGTAAGGCTGAACCTACAAAAAGGAACCACAGTCACAATCATAATTAATTTATATTATTAATTGCTCCTTGCTGATAGAACATCGTTTTAACTACAAATCAAATAAAAAAAGTGTCTTTGTTCAAAATACATATTTTTATTTATAATATTGGTAGTACTAATGTACACATCTTAACTAATTTTTTATACTTAGAACAAGTAAAATGTCTCAATATGGTCAAATAATGTGATATATATCACTGCAATCACTAAATAGAAACCAGAATTTACAAATCAGAAGCAAATTTAAATAAAAGAAACTTAAAGATATTTAAAAAAAAGCACGTGGCAGAATTCTATATCCTCTTTAATCCCTGTAACAACAATGAATAGACTTATATGAACATTCTACTTTGGAAATTTATTTGAAGTAAAAATTCTAGATCTATAGTAGCAATGCTGCCTATGACCTATTACATTTAAAAGAGCTTATTCCTACTTATTCTTATGCAAAAAGAATGCCAAAATGAAAAATAGATCTCACAACTCCTAAACTGCTACATTTTGCCACTGTGCCCACAAAACTGACATCCCACAGTAACTTACCTCTTTGCCAAAAACAAACAAACAGTAAAGTGAAAAAACCCTACCTACTACAATGACTTGCCCAAATAGGTTAAAGGAATTAAATGAACAGATTCTGATTTTCATATAGTTTCAAAAAATCTGGAGATATTTATTTCCACTCACCCTAAACCTGAATATTCCCTCTGTGTTCAATTAGAAAAAATAAATGGGAGGTCATTTTGTAAATAACTAGCTTCAAGACCAAAAAAAGTTTTGTGATACAAGATAAAAGAAGAGGTTGAACACAATTATCATTTCCCCTAAAAGGAAATTACTTTTCAAGTGCTTTTTTGTCTTTTTATTTCTTGATTTCTTGGGATTTTTCAGGTCATTTCTCTTAAGTATACATTCAACTCTATCTCAGTGAACTCTTTAGAAACTCAAAGCAAAACTGAATGTGGCAATTACAAGGCGAAGCAAATAATAGTAATAAATTTAATTATAGGTTAAAAATAAAGTATGGCCTATTTTAGAACTAAATATAAAACTATTAGAAACATATGCAAAAAAAATAAAACTGAGAAAGAAGAAAGAAAACAGAGGTGATATATTTATGTAGTTCTTAGAGGACATAAAGCAATAAAAACTGATATATCTGACTATATAAAAATATGACGTTTCTATAAGTTAAAAAATCAATATTAAAAAGACATATAACAAGGATATATTTGACAAGGCAAAGGTTCATATCATTTATATAAAGAGCTATTAAAATTTTTTAAAAGTTGTAACCAATTTTCACCTAACAAAATTTACAGACTAAAAAGAATGATAGCACCCAGTGTTAAGGGGATGTTAATAACTGCTGATGTGAGAGTAAACTGATGTTACCTTTCCAGCGAAGAACTAGAAATGATTTATCAAAACCACTAAAAATGTGCATATCATATAATCAAGTGATTCTACTTCTAAGAATTTAGTCCAAGGAAACAAAATAATTAATACAGAATTATAGTAAAAATGAAAAAAAAAGAAAAGAAAAAAAAAACAAGCTTTCTATTCCCCTAGGAAACTGATTAAGAACACTAGAGTACATTAATAAGATGGAATAATATAAAGCCATTAAAATCACATAGTGAAATATTTATTGTGATAAGGAATGTCTGTCAAAACATAACTAAGTGAAAATCATAAACTATAAAAGATAATTCTATCTTAGGTTTCTGTTTCAAGAGGTACTGAAGAAAAAAATATAAACTGTAGATAAGTTAAGATGATGCAACTACACTCAATTTGGTCTTTACTCTTTATTGTGTTTTCCAAATTTTCTTCATTAGGTATCTCTTTAATTAAAAAAATTCTTTGATTATTCTGAAATGTTTTTTAAAGCTTTTAATCACACCATCTTCAAAAGGCACAAAACCATTTTAAATAACTGTCATCTGTTTTAGGGACAAAATAAAACTAATGTTAATTGTTTTACTGCACTCCAAAAACTCAGTTTCATGTTATTTAAATTATATACTATATACTTTACAAATGTTGACTTTAAAGCTATGAAAAATGGAACACCTGAACTAATATAACACTGTATGTTAACTATACCAGAATAAAAATAAAAATAAATTTTGGAAAAAAGCTATGAAAAATGGAAACATCACCATTTAAGCCAAATGCCCTACCACTCTCACATACATAAGAGAATCCTGAGTACGTTTACATATGTGATCATATAAGCATACATACATCTAATATGTCCGTGATTCAGGAAATAATTTCCTAATGGAAAAAAAAAAAAAAAGATTCTGACAGCCAGAGCACAGAAGAGAACTGAAGAATAGTTCCCACAATACAGTACATATTCATTAAATCACAGCTATTACTTTTATTTTAGCCTCTGGTTTTACTAGAAATACGCAGATAACTACCTTAATTCTCCATTTCACATTACACATATAGCCCTGGGCAAAGCTAAGACATAGTGTCTTCATTCTATCTTATTTCCTGCATCAGCTATTTGTAGTATGAGAATGAGGTTAACTATTCATACACAGTAAGAATATGCACATGAGAATCTGATTCTATTCCCTCAGAAAGAAGAAACGAAACAATGTGATATACTTCAGATTTAGAAGAACTAAGGGGAAAAAAAAAAATCCTGCCTGTAGATGGAGTTTAGCATTAACGCTGCAATATTAGAAAACTTGCACTAAGACGAGGCTAATCCTCTCACACTGGGATTTCCTCCTGTCACTGCATCAATAAAAAAGCTAACAAAAACATTAAATATCCAATAAGCAAGTTCCTACAGCATTCAACATTCTTGATCATTCCTGGTCTTTTACCCAGGCAACAGAATGCTTCTACTTTGGAAGAGTTGATTCTCTTAATACGAAGGCTAATAAATGCATACAATTGACAGAATTTTTAAACAGCAGGGAGTATAATACTCTTTGTATATTAGAACAATTTAGACTCTAAAAATTCACAATTTTGAACCACTAAAAATAGCCTTAGCTCAGCAAATGCAGACCTTTCTAATTCCAAGGAATCCATCTGTATTTGAAAAAAAAACTTATCTCTCAAACAAAAATAATTTAGCAAAACACAAATGACCTAATTAAAGCAATTCACATATTATAGACAACAAACTGATGATTTTTCATTTATTTATTTTTTTCATTTAAAATGACATGATTCATATCCTCTCACCGAACTTTCAGAAACCAAGTCTTCTGAACTTACATAATAGTGATAAAAACTGCACTCCTACTAAAATTTACAACTTACTCATGTTCATTGATATATAGTTCTGCAAGTTCATGCCAAGCTTCTTGGTCACCAACAAATCTGGTGAGAGGAAAAGGGGGGGAAAAAAAGTGTGTAGATATTCTGTAAATGAACAGCATGGAGGCAAAAAGGAAAATCAAATGCAAATTCCATTTTAATTAAAAAAGATTTATCAGAATAACAAAACACAATCCTCTTGTAAGACACTCACTGTTCCAGATACTCATTCAGTTCCCGAATGGCCTCCACATTTTTCCCCTGAGCTTTTCGAATGGCAATCTTACGCTTTCTTGCAGCCTATGGGTTGACATTAATAAAGGATTAGGCCCTCATGATTCCCTGGGTTTTTGTAAAGAAGGTAATTTGACTGTGCAAATTATTATCTCAATGCCAGTGAAATTCCATTGTAGAACTACTGCTTAGTGGGAGTTTATAAACATACCCCATGACATCCCACTGGGGAATTCAAACATTCCTCTAACAATCACATATGCTTTACTTTTGATGTACACAATGTATGCATCATTTCATTCAAATAAATAACCATCCAGATTCTGATAATTACAAGCCAGCAGGGAATCCTAATCTTTACCCAGCCTAAAGTCCTTTACTCTGTCTCATTCATAAGATTTGTATGTTAAGAGATAGAGGGATAGTGGAGATTAGGAAAAAAAAAAATCTCACCATGGCCACATGAATTATAAAATATAGCTCCTGATAACTTTTTTCACAGTTTTAAGAGAAATAACTACCTGTAAGTCTTTCAAGAATAACACAGGACCAGAAAAAAATATTTTATAAATAAACAAAACAACTAAACTTGCATTTTAAAGTTTTAAAAATGATAAATATAAATATCAGTGTCATTGATTTATGCATTCATCAAATATGTACTGAACATCTGTTTGACAGGTACTGTGCAAAACAATGAAAATATGAGGACAAGAACAGATAATTCCTTATTATCTCATGAGAAACTCATGAGAAAAAGACACAGCAAATAAAAAGACAATGATAGAGATATCTAGGGTGTCATGCAACATGGAGGAGAGCCTAACACAGGCTGCGGCAGAATGGAGGAGGTGTAAGGGCCAGAAGCAAAGAGGGCCCCAGATGTGATACCTGTACTGAAATAGAAAGAGCAAGGATACATTAAAAAAGCAAAAGAGGGAACTGTTTGAAGGACAGGGTATAGATGGAGGAACATAGAACAAAAGTAAAGAAGACAGCAACAGTGTGTGTAATCAATATTATCCTTTTGAGGCTGGAGTTAACAGGGACTGGAGGGCACTATGCAAATTATTAAATTTGTATCTCTTCCATCTCTGTTTAATTCAATGCAGATAGCTAAGCAATAAAACAAACAAAAGCTATAGCTAAGTTAAGTTTATTAATTATGAATATGATTGTTATTGTTTTATATAATACACACTCCACAAGATGTAGACAAGGAAAGTAAAATGAATGGGGCCTCTTTGACAAATGGAGCTACCTGTCATGGGTGGAAAAGGTGGGGGTTTTTCTCTGAAAAAGTGAGAGTCAAAAAATCAGAGAGAATCAAGAGACTCCCAATAAATAAGGCCATGAGTGATATTTATAGTAACAATGATAACAACATTTTGGCAACAAAAAATGAAATGTGTTAAAAAATGTATTATCCTTGATTATTCAGCTCATGCCAAAGGCCTAACACAATGCCTGCCAAACGGTAGGTACTCAAATATTTTTGGAATAATTTCACTATGTACAACAATGAAAGTGCCATAATAAATGTACCATTTAAAAAGCCTCAAGAATTCAGAAAGGAAGTAAAAGAAAAGCTCTAAAAGTAACTCAATCCTAAAGACTTTACGAAGAATATTAGACTTCAAATGAGAGTCTTCTCCCAAGTTCTTCTGAAAATAGGTGATGGATAAATTAACATATAATTAAGAAACTAATTTATTTTGGATATATCATATCTAATTTCACCAATCCAACATCATTTGAAACATTTAACTCTTTATTCCTTTCATTTATCATAATACTACTTCTTCTATAGACAATATGGTAGAACAGAGTCCACATTTTAAAATAAGAAAGACAAGAAACAAATCCCAACTCTTGGCACTTACCAGCTTTCTAACCAAAGACAAAAATACTACCACATGCTGACATAAGAACCAATTTTTACATATCATGATAATTTTAAATAAGCATTAAAGAGGGATTTCATTTCTGGCCAAGACGGGATCAGATTTACCCTCTTGCCTGAACCAACCAAAGAACTAGATTAAATATGCAAAATAATTTTTAAGGCACAGGACAACAGGCAACAAAGAACAGTGCTCCCTGAGGGGCTGGAAACAAATGAGGTGAGCCCTGTTTTTATTGCCCTGGCTCATCACTGCTTTGAGAGAGTTTCAGGGGTCCTGTGCAAGAAGAGAAAATAAGGTTGAGTTCAGTGGACTCCGTGAGTTGAGAAGGAGCGGAGAGCTCAGGAAGATTAAAGGCTAGAGTTTGTAGACATAGCACTGGAGAAGAAAGAATACAGAATAAAAACTCTAGATTCCTCTTAAATCTCAAGGGCTTCCCTCGAGTACTCAGCCTTGTACTGATCAGTGCATGTGTGTGAAAAAACTACCCAAAGCCAAGGAAAGAACCACCAGAAAAGTTTAGGGGGAAGTGTCTGGAGCTCACATAGGGCTGGGAATAGTGCCTCTTGTACCAGCCATACTGGAAAATGCCATGATTCCTGTGGCACTGGCTAGAATACCCAGAAGGATGTAATGGGGAGTAACTAGCTAGCCCTATAAGCACTTTCTGGACCTCTCTAACAGAGACCCAAAAGGATCAAATTGTTTTCAAGTAACTTAATTATATCCCACAAGAAAGCTCAAGAACATATTTTGGGAATATAAAAATGGAAAAGAGCAAAGAGAACTTTTGAAGATGATAGTTTTGTTCACTATCTTGACTGTGGTGACGGCTTCACAGGTGTATACAAACATTAAAACTTAACAAATTGCACACCCTACTTAAATATATGCAGTCTATTCTACATCAATTATATGTCAAAACAGTTTTAAAATAGTATTAATTGGACTAAATGTTAAGTAGAGTCTTGACTATTTATCAATTACCATTTATTTCTTTTAGTTTTTTTTTTTTTCCTGTAAAATATGTCAATGTTCTGAATTTTTCTAAATGTCTCATTTGGATCAATCTTTGCAAATGTCAGTTTAAGTCTTAAAAATGAAAACTGTTCTACATTTTATAAGTGATTTTAATAACAGAATTCCTATTATAAAATATAAAATATTAATGACCATGAACAAATCTTCACCAAACTTGCTACATGCCTTCTGTAACATTATGTATAAGGGGGCTACCCAGCAATTCTTCCTGAAACTCTTGTCATATCTTAAAAAATAAGGTACGGGGTGGGGGGGTAGGCGGGGGGAGGGATACTACTTAGGAAAGGATTAAAGGATTAAGGTCTACCAGCAAAATACAATCTACATCTCTCCCTACTGCAGATTCTGGGACCCAGAAAGAAACAGACCATTGGCCAACAGAAGGAAAGCAGTATTCTGGGTTCTTCCAGGGCTTATGCCCATGATCGTGGGAAATGTGACATTCTAAAAAGCATCTTCACCCTTGGCACAGAGGCAATTACATCTAATTCTAAAACAAAACTTCAAATATTTGATAAATCACAATAGGCAGTTCACAATTCAAGGTAAAATCTGATCTTTCTGAAATATGAAATTCAACTAAAAAGACAATAATTAACATACTTCCTTCTGAAAAGTATTCATTCAGCAAGTATTCACTGAAGACCTACCATATGCTAGGCATTAGTTCATGCAATGGACATAATTTTTTCCCTCAAGGAGCTTTCAAAGGAAGAAAAGCCTACTTTTATTTTAAAAGCAAGCAAACAAAAACCTGACTGGTGCTTAGGCAACCTAAGGGATAAAAGCTCAGTGAACCTAATCCAATATTTGACTCTCACAGGTTAATGACTAAAACTTCCACATTTGAGAGTTACCCTTCTAAAAACCATTCACGGCTAACTAATTTTAATTGTTTGTGTACTTTCACTGCAAAATATTCTTTCATCCATTCCCTATCCCTTCCAATTCCACTTGTCCTAGGTTTAGACCCCATAATCTCTGGCCTAGGACTGAGGGGCCTCCAAATTACAAATTATTTCATCTCTGCACCTCCTTCAAACTATCTCCCATATTATTAACAAAGTTCTTTCTAAAAATATCTGGTGGTATTTCCCTAATCAAAATTTGACTTTATTGTCCATTTTCTTTTTTTCTTTTTAGAGAGAGCAAGCGAGTGTGTGAGAAAGGGGGGTGGGGCAGAGAGAGAATCTTAAGCAGGCTCCATGCTCAGAGCCTGACACGGGGCTTGACCTCACAACCCTCAGATCATGACCTGAGCCGAAATTAAGAGTCAGATGCCCAACAACTGAGCCACCCAGGCACCCCATTCATTGTCCGTTTTCTAAGAATAAAAATTAAATTCTGAAGTGTCACATACGAAATTGGCCATATAGGCCATCTTGTTGCATCTCCAGTCACTTTGTACAATGAACCAATTCAGAGCTATATTGTTCCTCAGAACCCCAATTTTTCTCAGAGGTCAATGAGTAGGGAAGAAGGGAGAGGTTAACTATGTAGAGCACCAGAACCATGCCCTTTCTTCAACAAGAACAGAAATAAAATTTCATTTGAAAAACATATTGAAGGAGGCAGTTAAGAGAAATACAAATGGCTTTTTAAGCATATTAAAAGATATTCAACATCACTCATAATGCAAATTATAACAAGATCATGTTTTTTACCAATTAGACTGGCAAAGGTTAAAAACAAAAAAGCTGATAGTATACCATGTGGGAGGATACAGGAGAAGAAGCACTCTCATTCCACAGAAATGAATATGGATGGCTAAAAAGCCTTTGTGGGAAGGAAATTTGGTAACATCTATCAAAATTTAAAATGCATGGATCTCCAGACTTAGATTCCAGAGGAGGAATCCATCGTACAAATGACATTCACTGCAACGCTGTACCTGGGAGGAAGATATCAAAATCAACCTAAGGGTTTATCAAGGGGGACTTACTTCAAGAAACTGTTTTTCAAGAGACTTTTTTTCATACATCATGCAACACAATGCTATGCAGCTATTCAGAGGATGTAAGGATGTGCTGACATATAGCATGATCTTTACAACGACTGCAAGGTAGACTATGCCACCATTTGCATTTCCAACAACTCTCTCTGTAAAAAGGGATACACTGATACACAAGTGCATATTTGTGTGTGCACAAGGGAAAAATCTCTGGAAGAACACAAGGGAAACTGTTAATAATGTTTGCCTAAGTGAAGGAGGATGTGAGATCAGGGGTGAGAAGAAAGACTTATTTTTCACCATATATTCTTTTGTATTGTTTGTAATTTTTAACATGGGTATGTATTACATTTTCAAAAAAATATTTTACAACCTTTTAAAAATAGATGGGGGGAAAAGTCCATTTCAGCATCCTCCCTAAAGAAAATTTGAAAACTTCCTTTCTAATCACTTTATTCTTTCTTCCCTAGGTAGACTTTGTACTTAAATAGTGCCAAGGTTTCATTCATGAGATAATGAGGACATTCCACGGTCCATCATCTTTGCTTCATTTCAACCACACTCATCCTTCAAGGCCCGCAAGGCTCAAAAATCACAAAAAAAGTGACTAAAAATTTAACAGACTATTTTCAAAGTCCATAATCTGCTCACTATACCACTCTGCATCCCTAAGTACAAGGTCAAGTGGGTGTCTAATTTGTTCTATTCCCAGCACACTGTAAGCACTCAACAAATGTTTTTTTGAAAGATTAATGAATGCATAGGAGAAGGAAGCAGAGCTCCTTAAAACCTGAATGAACAACCTCATTTCTATACTGGACATCTAGAAACATAGAGGCACAAGACCAATAATAGAGTCATATGATCACTTTTATACAACGCAAAGAAGAGCTAAGTGTAAAAGCTTGAATTATAACTATGGATGAGGGTGCAACTAGACTTTCCCACCTTTGAGGTAATACTTTACAGTTGCTTTGAAAAAAGAAATTGTGATGTCTTCTATACTGCCACTTAACTGTTTATGTAACTGAATTCTTCCCCTACTAGACTTAATGAGCTCTAGGTCTTATATGGTTTGGTTATCTCCCTCAAAGTCCACCCCAGTGCTTTCTATGGATACATTGACAGGAACTGTCTTCATTCTTAGTAACACCAACATTCTGGTGGCTCATGACAGACACTCAATAAACATTTACAGAAGGACAGAAGGGACTAAGGGGACATTAGATAAAGACAATATTTAATGAAAAAAATAATACATTTAGCAAAGCTGAATTTAGTCACTTTGTTTTAAAATGTTTACCTAGCAACTAAAGGATTTAGTTACTACCACCTCTTACATGGTCTATGAATGAAACCATTTGGGTTTTTCTTTTAGTCAATCTTAGAGCCATAGAATATGAAAAGTACTACGAACACAGAGAAATAATTACATATTATCTTAGAGCCTGAAAAAGTGAAATAACTTATTAAAAATATCTCCAACTTAAACTAACACAGAAGCAAAATGTTTGACTCCTAATTCCAAGAAAATAAATCAAAAGTTATTGACTTTTAACCTGGTATTAAAAAAAAAAACATAAACTTTTTTCAGAAACTTGATTTCATATTTTCAATATTTGGCTACGTGAAAAATGAATACCTTTGAAATTGTAGTGAAGTCTTATAACTGAAATAAGTACATGAGAAAAGCTTCAGGAAAAGAAAAATGGTGCTATTTTATTAAAACAGGTGGCAAGTGATTAGGATAGTTAAGATTAAAAAAATTATTCAGAACTTTCCAATTTTAACTCTTTTATTGGAAATATGTAGATAAACTAATAGAAGCTCTATTTTTGATTTTTTGTTTTGTTTTGTTTTTTTATAATGGATAGGCTTGCAGCTCTGTCAAAACTTTTCCTTGAGCTTTGTATATGCTGAGAAGCCTCACAAAATAATAAATACTTGCTATTCAACTATCTACCTCTACCTTCCCCCTGCCCCCCAAAAAAAGACCTAGGAAGTTTCCAGAGAAAATTTCCCTGGGATGGATAATATTAAAAGCAAAAATCTAAACCATTTCACTATATATATATAACCACACTGTATAACTTACACAACATTACTTGTCAATTTTATTTCAATAAAGCTGAAAAAAGACTACCATTTAGGCAACAGATGTAAGTATTACCACAGAGTATCAGAAGGGACAAGCAGAGATCAGGGATTTATGACCAATGAATGCCTGTGATAAATGCTAACTGAATATTGCACACTTAGATATTAAATAATTGCCCAATATAGCATAAATAATTACTTAAATTGAGTAAAGTAACTAAAGTTCAATTATCAAGTATATTTGCATCTTATAATCCATAATTATACATTAAATGGCTTTTTAAAAATGTGTATTTTTAATGAAACACTTGCCAAATAAGAGAAAACTTTCACGTATTTGTGTTGTGTTAATATAACAATATCTCCTTCTATAAAAGGACAAAACAAACCCAACTGGTTTTTGTTTAAAAATTTTAAAAATATGATTTTCTTTTAGCAGGCACGTGTGCATGGACATAATAAAAAAAACATTAAAATGCCTGATATGTTATCTAAAATCTCTCTAACTTTTCATTGAATAGAAGGTAAGTCTGAGGAAAGCCATTATGCAAAAATAGTAAACTAAAATGTTCTCAAAATTAAAAAAAATCTTCAGGGTATTTTTTTTTTAAGATTTTATTTATTTATTTATTTGAGAGAGAGAGAGAGAGGGGAGAGGGTCAGAGGAAGAAGCAGGCTCTCCGCTGAGCTGGGAGCCCGATGTGGGACTCGATCCCAGGACTCCGGGATCATGACCTGAGCCGAAGGCAGTCGCTTAACCAACTGAGCCACCAAGGTGCCCCTCTTGAGGGTATTTTTAAAACAAAAATACCACATAAGTATATTTGGAACAAATAATCTGCCCAATATACTGATATACCTGTTCAAATCAGGATAAAGTAAAGATGTTATCTTATGGGAAATACAATATACATATTTCTTCTTTATACATATATACATATATGAATATACGTAAACATGTATATTACATATACCTATATGCATTCCTATTCAAGTATAAGGCAGAAAAAAGCAAAACCAAATCAAAACACCTTTATTAATTTCATATACCAATTACTATGACAACTTCTCTCATTTTTCATTGAGACAACTAAAATATAACTACTCAAACAAGTTATTTTATCATAAACTTCAAAATACTACAAATCCACTGAGCTCTGCTGGGCTTTTTTGCAAACACATAAAATTCTTTCTTTCTAAATTTCCACTAGTTCCTAATAAGATATCCTATGAGTCAAATTTCACTGAAGAGTTTTAAGTCTCTTTTAAAAATGTGGCCCCCAACAGAAAGTATTTAAAAAGATAAAACCTGGTTTCATATGTATTTTTCCATTATTTCAAAAACTGAATTAATTTCATCTTTTAAAACAAAATTTAGACAATCTTCAGGGCAATTCAGCTAACTTACAGTGTTAGTTGGATCTTCTTGTAAAATTCTATCATATAGTTGTACAGCATCATCATATCTATATAAAAAGAAAAAAAAATCAAGAATCATTATTTTAAATTTTAGTGACAAATAGTAAATACAGAAAAAGATTAAACTGGCAGGACTTTAAATGCATTTAAAATTGCAATCCAAGTCTCTTCTGATCTTCATGTAACAACAGATATTTGCTACAGTATCATTTTTTACAGAAAAAAATTCATGTATAAAGTATTTATAGAAAAACTTACTTAATATACTGATTCATGAACAACAACAACAAAAGAGATGAACAAAAATGCACTGATTCAATCTGGCCTAAATACAAAGGTAAAAACTAGCAACACAAAGATACCTTTGTGGTCCTAGGTATACCTAGAATTACAGCCAATAAAGCATAAGAACAAGTTTAATTTTAATAAACAAATCCATAAGGAAATGATCTGTGATTTAATTCTCTTTAATGAATACTTATGATAGCTTTTCTTAGTTGAGTTGGTTCAGTTCAATTCATTAAGCACCTGTTAAATATACACCTGAAATACACTCTCGTGGGTTACAATCTTATAAAGGAAATAGTTAACAATTTATCAATGAAAAAAAATAATCAAATATTTCAGCATATGACTAACAAGGCAAAATAAACATTATGTGATAGGGAATCAAGGGGAAGGATACATCAAAAATCACATAAAGAATATCATATACTCTTATATTTGGGAATCTTGTTTAGGGTGTAAGGGAATAACTGATTCTGAAATTCCTTCCTATCCATAACCCTAACTCTACTCCAATCAATTTCTCCATTTCTAGATACAGATCTTTAAAGAAAACAAAGAACAATGTTTAAAAACTTTCACAGCAATGTTTCTAAAACTAGGAACAACAGCTAAATTCTTGAGATCTATTCATAAGTTTCCTAATTTTTTAATTTTATATTTTTCTCTTAATGATATTCAATATATGAATATTCTATTATCATAACAATGACACATCTTTTAACTAAATACTGCCCCACAATTTTAGTGCCCAAGACTCTTTGTGATTATGATCATGCTAGTAGGTAAGAATATTTTAACTGTAGCAGAGAACTGAGAAAAATAAAAGCAGACTTAATTTGTAAATGTGTTCATACCATACAAAGACCAAATAGCATCACTGCACACTAAGTCAATCAGACTTGAGTAGTTCAAATTAAATTAGTTTGGACCTCAAACACATGGTAATATAGAAGTATGTTAGCCTCAAAAGAGCCTGCAACTAAATGGGGAAACCTAAAATAAAATCATTAAATAGTAATAAAACAAAACAATGAAGTATATAAATAAGGACAAAATAAATGTTATACAGCAAGGGTTCTCACAAGACAGAGTATATGAGAATCCCCTGGGAATCTTTTTCTAATTATATAATCTCTGACAAACACACTGGGAATAACAGAAGATAATAGGAAACCATTCATTTCATTAATATAACAATAACCTGAATTTTAGTAGTTTTCTAGTTTTTTGGGTTTTTTATTAGAAAACCTACATTGTTTTTATAGTTGTACAAAAACTATACACATAGTGGCACCTGGGTGGCTCAGTCAGTTAAGCATCTGCCTTTGGCTCAGGTCATGATCTCAGGGTCAGGTCAGACTCCCTGCTCAGCAGAGTTTGCTTCTCCTTCTCCCTTTGCCCCTACCCCCAGGTTATGTGCTCTCTCTCCCTCTCAAATAAATAAATAAAATCTTAAAAAAAAAAACAAAAACTACACACATAAAGTATTAATACCTAGTTTTATATTTAAGTTTTACTATAATTAAAAAATAGTAAGTTCTGTAAAAACTATGATGGTTAATTTTTCTAACTGAGCGTGATGAATATCAACTTGACTGGCCATATGGTGCCCAGATTAAATACTATTCCTGGATATGTCAAAGGATACTTCCAGGTGAGATCAGCATTTGAATCTGTGGGCTCAGTAAAATAGAGAGCCTTCCCCAATGTGGGTGGACATTACCCAATCCCATGAGAGCTTGAATAAAACAACTGCAGAGGAAAGAGGTGTTCACTGCCTCACTACTTGGGCTGGAACATCTCATCTCAACTTCTCCTGCCCTTAGTCTGGAATTTACACCATCGACTCTCTGGTGCTCAGGCCTTTGGACTTGGACTGAGACTGAACTACATCACCAACTTTCCTGGGTCTCCAAGTTGCAGACAGCAGATTCTAGGACTGCTCAGCCTCCATAATTACTTCATAATAAATCTCACCCTCTCCCTATGCATCCTTCCTCCCTCCTCTCACCCCTATATATGTACAGCAATATCTTCTTGGCTCTGTTTCTTTAGAGAATCCTAATACACTGAAGGTCCACAAGAATTTACCTTTAGTCAGCAATGTTCTCAAACCTACTTGTCTATTCTCCTGCAGGGCTTCTTTTAAAAGAAAGATCTGGATTACACCCCTAACAAAGTGATCTCAGTTAAGTGGGGAGCAGGCAACTACATATTTTTTTTTAACATGCCACAGATCACTCTAATTCAAAGACACATAGTAGTCACTTTAAAAAAAAAAAAACAGCAAAACCTTACTGAGTAAAATGATTACATGAGTTTCAATTAAAGAGTAAGGCTTAAAGAATTAGAGTTCAGTAGGTGTCATAGAAAACTTGACTTAAAAATAAATTATTGTTACCATATCAATTTTTTTGTTTAGTTAGAAGATGGGTAGAGGGATAGTAACTATTAAAATGTGTGCTTTGAAACTAGTACCTCTCAAATCTTTACAAGTTAATTTTAAAAATCATTCATCTTAGCACTGGGTGTTATACGCAACTAATGAATTATTAAACATTACATCAAAAACTAATGATGTATTATATACTGGCTAATTGAATTTAAATAAACAAAAACAGAAAAATAAAAAAGTCATTCATCTTGGACTCTGGGGTGTGTTTGGCTATTCACACATTTTAAGAATGCTCTAGAAATTTATACTATTTGAAATAAAACAAAAAGTGGTATTAGAGTAAAACACTGATTCAGGAACAGTCCTTTGTAGATTTCTTCCTTTTGTCCTTTGATTCAAAATTACTTTCTGCTAACCTAAAATAATACTATTTTATTTATTTTTCTTTATCTATGCCCTTCACTTGCTTACAGAGACAGTCTAATGGGATTAAACTGTATATATACACAAACACATAAACTAAGGAATAAAGGGATTAAGAAAAATTGTATCAATACATTCTGCTTACTAAAAGCTACTATGACGTACAAGTTAACTCTGTCTTAACCTAAAACACCAAATTAAAACACTGATGAAAGAAACTGAGAAAATCAAAAGATATCCATGCTCATGGATTGGAAAAATACTGGTAAAATTGTCATACTACCTAAAGTAATGTAATGATTCTGTGCAATCCCTATCAAAATTCCAACGGCATTTCCCACAGGACTAGAATAATCCCAAAATTTGCGTGGAACCACAAAACACCCTGAATATCCAAAGCCATCCTGAGCAATCAGAACAAAGCTGGAGACATCATACTTCCTGATTTCAAACTATATCACAAAGGTATAGGAATCAAAACATTATGGTATTGGCATAACAACATAAATTAATGTAACACATAAATTAATGTAACAACAGAAAATCCAGAAACAAACCCACACATGCATGGCCAACTGATTTACAAAACAGAAGCTAAAAATATACAATGGGAGAAGGATAGTTTCTTCAATAAATGGTGTTGGGAAAACTGGACAGCCACATGCAAAAAAATAAAACTGGACCACTACCTTTACACCACACATAAAAATCAACTCGAAATTGATTAAAGACATCAACATTAAGACCTGAAATAGCAAAATTCCTAGAAGAAAACATAAGCAGTAAGCTCTCCGATGTCAGTCTCGGTGATGATTTTTTAGATTTGACACCAAAAGCAAAAGCCAACAAGAGCAAAACTAAAGAAGTGGGACTACATCAAACTCAAAAGCTTCTGTACAACAAAGAAAACATTCAACAAAATGAAAAGACAACCAAGGCAGACATACAGGTACATGGCAAACAGGTACATGAAAAGGTGTTCGACATCACTAATCAACAGGGAAATGAAAATCAAAACCACAATGAGCTACTACCTCACACATATTAGAATGGCTATTACCAAAAAGACAAGACATAACAAGTGTTGGCAAAGATTCAGAGAAAAGGAAACCCTTGTGCACTGTTGATGGGAATGTAAACTGGCATAGACACCAAGAAAAACAGTATGGAGGTCCCTTAAAAAAATTCAAAACAGAACTACCATTTGATCCAGCAATTCCACTTCTGGGTATTTAACCAAAGGAAACAAAATCACTATCTTGAAAAGATATTTCCAACCTCACGTTCATTGCAGCATTATTTGCAATAACCAATACATGGAAACAACCTAAGTGCCCATTGACAGATGAGTAGATAAAGAAGTCTGACATAATGGAATATTATTCAGCCATAAAAGAGAAAGAAATTCTTTCATTTATGACAACTTGGATGGACCTTGAGGGCATATGCTAAATGTAACAGTCAAACAGAGAAAGACAAATACTACATGATCTCACTGACATGTGGAATCAAAAAGAACACAAACTCACAGACACAGAAAACAGATTAGTGGCTGCCAGAGGTGGGCAGCGGGGGTGGGCAAAATAGGTAACAGTGCTCAAAAGGTACAAATCTCCAGTTATAAAATAAGTCCTGGGAATATAATGTACGGCATAGTCACTATAGTTAACAATACTGTGTTGTGTAAGTGAAAGTTGCTGAGAGAGTAAATCTTAAAAGTTCTCCTAAGAAAAAAAAAAGTATAACAATGTATGGTGATGGATATTAACTAAACTTACTGTGGTAATCATTTCACAATATACACAAATATCAGATCATGATGTCATACACCTGAAACTAATACAATGTCAATTATATCTCTTTAAAAAAATAAGTAACTTCTATACCTCAAATACCTGAAAGGGTACTACACATATGTCATTACTAATTCCCAAAACAACCCTGATAAATTGGTAGTACTCTCATTTTGCAGAGGAATAAGGCTAAAAGGCTTAAATAAGTTATATAATGTGCCAGATATACAACTAATAAATCCTAGAAACAGGATTTAAAACCAACCCTTACTCCAAAACACAATCCCATTTCACTAGGCCAGAGATGGTAAATGAATTGCACTCCTGTGTCAAATCCTATTTATTGGGAGTAACGGGCAAGATTTAGGCTGAAAAGCACTCTGACACTATTCTGGAGCTCAGTAGCAAAAGATCTTGCACGATTAATGATGTCGTCATGGAGGCAGGAGGACCTGTATCTAGACCCCATGCTTGCCATTTTAAAATGGGATCATACCGTTTTTAGATTCAGTTACCTTTCCATGGCTTCAAATCTCATGCCAGTTAGTCTTTTGACTCTGTGACTGCCAGGGAACTGTCTTCTCAACTCCTGAAGACAAAACTGAAAAAATAATCGGTAAAAAAGACTTAAAGAGTAGTAAGTACATTACATTACATACACTAGACGGGCTACAAGGAATGGCCTATATAGTCTTCTTAAATCACTTCATTAGTGTGCTCTAACAACATGAAGTGAAATTAACTGGTAATGAATAATGGGGTAAAAGAAGAACTCTGAAATTACAGTGGGAGCAACAATCAGTTCTCAGAAACTGATTATACTCTTAACTGGGAAAATAAGCAGGTCATGGGATACACTAATAACTCTTCAGATACCGCCATATTACTCCTCCTTCACAATTGCTTCCATAACGTGTTAGGCCCAACTTAAACGTTTATAACAACTTCCTGGCTTTTAGTTTCTATTATCTAAGCATTCTCTTGAAAAAATTAAGCTCTTTGACAGTACTCCCAAGTCCTGCAAATACTATAACACTATTTGCCCTGTTAATACATGCCCTCATGTATTAACCAATCATTTTGTCAGTACACATACCATGATTTGGGGTCATAAAACACAGACACCAAATCTGGAGAGTACCAATCTCCTTTGGGAGATATCCATAATTCACCCATCAACTTCAATAAATAAATAATCAAGTATTTTGAGCACCAACTATGTTCTCAGCAACATATGAGGATTTTAAGAGTCTTGGAAGCACTAGAAGTATTAAGGATTATAAAAATGGTCCATTCTAGTGCCCCAAAGCAAAAGTGACCAAAAAAATACCTTTCACTAGTGAAGAAACTATTAGTTAATAAGAAAGTAAGTTATAACATGATCTGGAAGTATAGCTTTCAAGAATGTGGCTAAAAATCTGCCACACTAAGGAAAATATTCAAGTTAGTCAAAACTGAAGATGATGTTCGCTTATTTCTTTGACACCACACAAAACTCATACTGTTTGGTCAATTAAGCTGTGTAGGAATTCTGAACATTAAAAAAAATACTGTGTTACAAAAAAAGCTACCATTTAATTTGATCTCCTGCTTTGGTTATCAACATTATCTAATTTGATTCTCCTACTTTATCAAATGGCATTTGGCTACTTAAAAAACAACTCAATATTTCCCTTAAGATGTAAGCTGCCACCTCTGTAAATATTTAAAAGACTATTTCAGGGTTCAGTTGGTTAAGTGTCCAACTCTTAATTTCAGGTCAGGTCATGATCTCACGGTCATGGGATCGAGCCCCAGGTTGGGCTCTGCACTGAGCATAGAGCCTGCTTGAGATTCTCTCTCTCCCTCGCCCCCTAACTCTCCCCCCTTAAATAGATAGATAGATAAATAAATAAATAAATAAATAGACACTCATAGGTTCTGAAGGTAATCTAAAAGGTTTTACGGAATATTTTTTTTACTACTAGCAGCTCCACTGAAATTAGATGTATAGCCAACATAACATAATTAATTACCTTGGAAAAAAACAATGCTATTTCAGAGATGCATATATTCTCTGGTATTTCTACTTTCTGTTTGCATGTACTTTCTTTGTGGCTTAAATGAGGAAGTAGCATAAAGTAGTACTTAAGAACTCAGGATTATAAAATAGAACAAAAAAGCCAAAACCTCCACTTTTTGATTTATGAAATGAGTATAATAATAGGGTCAAGCAAAAATCAAATTAAGAAATAACTGTTAAGATTAAATAAAGTATGATATAAAGCATTTAGCACAGGGCCTATCACAAGTGTTCAAAAATATAGCTATTATCATTCTTTTATTTTAAAAGCAGTATTAATATTTTAAGTCATATCCTACACGTGTTAGATTTTCTAATAATTTAAGAGATACATTTACAACACTGCAAAAGAGTATTTAACATTATGTATAGATCTTCCACTTACGATAGGGTTACATCCCAATAAATCCATGGTAAGTTCAAAATATTGAAAGTCAAAAATGCATTTAATACATCTAATCTACTGGGCGCCTGGGTGGCTCAGTTGGTTAAGCGACTGCCTTCGGCTCAGGTCATGATTCTGGAGTCCCTGGATCGCATCCCGCATTGGGCTCCCTGCTCGGCAGGGAGTCTGCTTTGCCCTCTGACCCTATCCCCTCTCATGTGTTCTCTATCATTCTCTCTCTCTCTCAAATAAATAAATAAAATCTTAAAAAAAAAAAAAAAATACACCTAATCTACTGAACAGCATAGCTTAGCCTAGCACACCTTACACATGCTCAGAACACTTACTTTAGCCTATAGTTGGGCAAAATCATCTAACACAAAGCCTATTTTACAATAAAGTATCGACTATCTCATGTAATTTACTAAATACTGCACTGAAAGTGAAAAACAGAATGGTTGTATGGGTATAGAATGGTAATAAGTTTATCAGTTGTTTACCCTTCTGATCACATGGCTGACTGGGAGGTACAGCCCACTGCCACTGCCCAGCATCATGAGAAAGTATCATACCACCTACCATTAGCCTGGGAAAAGATCAAAATTCAAAGTATAGTTTCTACTGAATGTGTAATACTTTCACACCATCATAAAGTTGAAAAATCCTAAGTCAAATCATAAGTCAGTGACTCTCTGTTATGAAAGTCATTCAACAAGCCAAAAGATAAACTTGTTTTAAACTATATGCTTCTTATTTTAAACTCTGTAATAGCATAATTTACCTCTTAACTAGATAACCTTCACCAACTAATTTAACCTCTTCAGTAAAAACTGGAATACTAAATACTTCCCAAGATTATTAAAAAGATTTAAGAACATTCCCTGTCCCAAAGTACCTAGTTAGTCTCTCCTATTCTTAAGAGTAGCACTGAAAACGACCTATAAAAGCATTCAAATACAAGCCATGTACAAAATTTTAGCTACTTATAATTCATGTAGCAAATTTAAAATAAAATAAAATATAATTAGTTTAAATACCTACCAATGCCAAGTCATCTCGACCATAGTCTAGGGCTGCAATCATCACTTGCTCATATATGATCCAAACTAGACACAGAGAGAGAAAAAAAATGAATTTAAGTAAAAATCTCCCAAAAGAAATTATTCTTCTTGTTTCTGATATCTTAGAGAACGTTACTTGCAACTGAAAATTGATTTATTATATATCTAGAATTAAGAAAGCATCCTTATGTGCTTTCAATAATGTAAAATATTTTAATCTTATAAGTTTAAAAAAATCTACTATTATTTAATACCTTTGTTCTTCTAAAAAATTCTTTATGAAATACATTTTGATCAGACCAGGACAATAGCCTTGTGAGCTTTAAAAGAAAAATACCTATTTGATTGCTTCACTACAACCAGCAATTAGAAATCCTTCTCAAAATAATGCATCATTAGACATCCTGAGAAGATTTTTTTAAAAAAGGACAAACCATAAATTGATATAAACAGCAGGAAAAACATAATAAAAAGATGCTTTAAAAAAAAAAAAAACTAAAAACCAAAACAGAACACAAGCCAAGCATGAATAAAGAACTTACTATCATCTCCAAGCTTAGAAGCATATTCATTAATTAATTCCTCTCCAACTTCCACAATTTGCTCACTGTTTCGTGAGTTTTCTTCTCTCCATTTTCTCATTTTATCTCGCATTTCTGAAAAAATAAAGTTTGTTATTACATATATATTTGATCAGTATCAAAAAATTGGTAAGGAAGTTGAAATCAACTTCTCAGGTAGAGAAAATAAAGTCACACTAATATAAGTCTATGGTATGTCAAAATTCATAAAGCAGAAAACCAATTTAACAAGAGCAACAGATCCTTTAGAAGATTAAAGACCTTACAACTGATGTTACAACTACAAAAGTAATGAATGGCATTGGTCCGCCACAAAGATCCTCTAATCCTTTAAGCAACTATGGATCTTCACTTTTTTGAAGTTACAGACAACTCTCAGAAATTGATAAAAGCTAGAGATAATTTTCCCAGGAAAAAAAAAAAAACACATAAAATTATACATAGAAATCTCAAAAATCCAAAGTACTCCTGAAGCTCCTACTCACTCAACAATGTAAAATTTCATAATCAGGGGATCATATTAGGCAATCAGCATTGAAAGGACAGTCATCACAAAACTTCCTTAATAACATTACAAAAGTATATATAATGTATAAAGATACACAACCATGCAAGAAAATAAACAGTGACAGATTCAGAACAAAGGAAATCTTTCAATTATATATACAATAATAAAAATGTAGAGTAAGGTAAAAAGCACTAGCAAACAAGTCACAAGAACCACTTTGCATATTATAAAACAAGAGGAAACAGGAATTTTAATGAACAGCATATTGACAGCAGGAATAATAACAAGGAAAAAGAAAGAGTACCTAATCCAGTAAAGATCTTTTTCATATAGTTATGGTAGAATGAAATGTCCAATTCGCCAATCACATAGATGCTTTCTTACTCCTACCTCTGAAAATCTAACATATTTATTCATCTGAAGTACCAACTTCTTCCTTCTACAGACACAGATATAGAATAGATTTAAACAGTTAAATTGTTGTTGAACACATGAGTTAAATAAACAATATGCTAGGCCCCTAGAGAAAAAGTATAGAAGAAGCACAACGGATTTTCACACTTTCGTATGCATTATCTGAGTCCCTATAGCTCAAAGTCTAAAACAAACAAACAAACAAAAAAACAAAAATCCAAGACAAAAACAGATCCTAAATGATCTGAGAAAATCAAATTAACACACAGTTAATTCCTTCTACTGACAACTAGAAATCAGCTTGACTCTTACTCCACAGAGGAAATAACCTTGAACTGAATCTTACAAGGTTGAAGAGGAAATGGACAAAAAAAAAAAGGTCATTCATACCCCACAGGTTAAGGGCTCAGTCCCACAAAACTGCCCCCACTTTAGACAGCAATCACAAGTCAGGGCCACCAATATTTCTGACCAACTGTCTATAAAGTCTGGGGTTCGGGTGCCTGGGTGGCTCAGTCTGTTAAGCATCTGCCTTTGGCTCAGGTCATCTCAGGGTCCTGCGATCAAGCTCCGCATCAGGCTCTCTGCTCAGCGGCGAGTCTGCTTCTCCCTCTCCCTCTGCCTCTGTGATCTCTCTCTCTCAAATAAATAAATAAAATCTTAAAAAAAAAAAAGTCTGGGGTTCTCACAACCACCTCCTTAGGTTTGCAAGAATGCCTCAAGGAACTCAGATAAGTGCTTCACTTATTATTATGGATTTATTATAAAAAATACAACTCAGGAACAGTCAAATGGAAGAGCTACATAGGGTAAAGGGGGGGGGGGGAAGGGAAGCAGAGGAACTTCCATGTTCTCTCTAAGCGAGTCACCATCCCAGTACCTTGATGTGCTTAGCAACCTGGAAGCTCTCCAAACACCATTGCTTAAGGGGATTATGGGGATTTCATTCCACCGGCATGATTGATCTCCAGATGATCTCCCCTCCCAGGAAGTCAAGGAATGAGACTAAAATTCCAACCTTTTAATCTTGCCCTGGTCTTTTGGATAACCACCCCCCAACCGGAAGCAACCAGCCTCCAATCATCTCATTAGTAGACAAAAAGATACTCTTACAATTCTAGAAACTCCAAAGGTCTTAGAGGCTCTTGTGTCAGAAACCCAGAAAAAAAGACTAAATATAACAAAAACTGTTCCTATCAACCCTATCATTCAGGAAATTTCAAGGGTTTAGGAGCTCTGTGACAGGAACTAGCGACAAAAAAACAAATACACACCCCTTATCACATCACAACATATGTTATCTTTAGATCCACAGCATGGGTTCTCAAAACTCATTCAAACTCTATCCCCTATACCATGGTTCACTTACAGTCTTAAATCCACGTTCACTTTCAACCTAGCAGATTATTTTATTTTATCTTAAAGATTTATTTATGGGCACCTGAGTGGCTCAGTTGGTTAAGCAAATGCCTTCAGCTCAGGTCATGATCCTGGAGTATCAGGATCGAGTCTCACATCAGGCTCCCTGCTCATTTGGAAGCCTGCTTCTCCCTCTGACCCTACCCCCTCTTGTGCACTCTCTCTCTCAAATAAATAAAATCTTACAAAAAAAAAAAAAAAAGACTTATTTATTTATTTGAGAGAGAGAGTGCATTTAGAGGAGAGGGGCTGAGGGAGATGTAGAGAAAAACCCAAGCAGACTCTGCACTGAGCACAGAAGCTGACCTGAGGCTCAATCTCACGACCCTGAGATCACAACCTGAGCCAAAACCAAGAGTCAGACACTTAATCAACTGGGCTACCCAGTTTATTTTAAAAGAGGAGTAAGTGCCTTGGGAATATAAATTATTTAGTGTTTTACAGATCTCATCCATAACACTGTACCCTTTGCCCATATGCTGAACCCAAATTAGGCTAGCATTCAAGGCGCCAACCTAGCTCTTACCTTGAAAAAATTACCTTCACAAAACATATACATATCCATAAGAATGTATCTTTAGCTTAGAAGTGAAATCTCAGGGTATGTTCCATGAGATCTGGGATCCTGCCTGTCTTGTTTAGCACTGTATCCTCAGGAACTAGAACAGTGCTTAGTGCAAAGTACTCCAGATACGTATTTAATTAACATGTTATTTAGTATATAGGCTAATAGTTAAAGCTAGGTGTGAATGAGATCACCCACAGAAGGCATTTAACCTTTTAATTTTAGACTCTTTGAATCTGATGAGACCTTTGAACCCTCTTTTCCCAGAAAGATGTACATGTTTACATACATTCAATTTTACATACAATTTCAGGGAATTCAAAGACCACATAAAACTTACCCCTCCATCAGTCAGGATTCTACTGATCTCAGGTTTAATAACCACCAATAACAGATTAAGTAGAATGCTAAGAAAAGAACCATTAGGGACACTAAAAATCAAGGAGCAAATGGATATAGAAAACTCAAAAAGGAAAGGTCTGAAAAGTAAGAGGAGACCCATAATGTTATTATGAAACCAAGGAAAGAATGTTTCACGGTGTGATCTGTAACAACTAATATAGTGGTAAAAAAAAACCACATTAGACCTGGCATTAGGTTTCCCTAGAAACCTTACTGGAATGAGAGGGCATGGAAACCAAATTATGTTGTTTGGATGACTGAATAAAGAGAAAGTAGAGACAATAAGTACTTTAATAATTATTTTTCCAACAAATATTCATTTAGTGCCTATTTCAAGCCAGGCATTGTGCTAGACATCCTATCCATATCCTGGCCAAATATCCTATTTTTGAGAAATTTGGCTATACCCTTCTTACAACTCTCTTTCCCACCTCCAAACTCCTAAGTAGTAACTCCTCTAACAAACATTAATTTTCAACCGGTTGAATAAGTAAACCATATATTCTACTTTTTTTATAGAGCCCAAAAGATCGTAAGTGTTAGACTTACTATATGGGTCTTTTATAAACGTGATAAATTTTCCTATCACAAGAATTATAGTACTTTTTGAACAAGCCATTTCCACAACCTTAATTCATGATGCTGTTCAATGGAATTCTTAAGGACACAGGTCCAACTGACATGCTCTCCCAAAAAAAATCTAAACAAAAAACTATCTCTAAGAGTCCTCTATCACCTTCTAAAATCCTAAAAATTTGTTACTATAAGTTTCTGAAAGAAAAATCTAGATCACTCTTTAAAAGTCCCCTAAAATAGAACTCTGATTCTGGAAAGGTCTGAAACCTTCATTTTACAAATAAGCAAACTAGGGCGCCTGGGTGGCTCAGTTGGTTAAGTGACTGCCTTCGGCTCAGGTCATGATCCTGGAGTCCCTGGATCGAGTCCCTGGATCGAGTCCCGCATCGCAGGGAGCCCGCTTCTCCCTCTGACCCTCCCCCCTCTCATGTGCTCTCTGTCTCTCTCATTCTCTCTGTCTCAAATAAATAAATAAAATCTTTAAAAAAAAAAAAAAAACAAATAAGCAAACTATATCCTATTAATAAAGTGAGCTGCCTAAGTCTACCTAAGATACTACAGAAATTTTTTCAATACTAGAAAAATGGCTTATAGTCTTTTGTGACAATTTGTTAATGTTTATTATTAATGCCATTAACAATTCACTTAGTCAACAAATAATGACTGAGCAACTCCAAAATGTCTAGCACAAGACCAAGATACGACTGGTCCCTCCCTCCATTCTAGGAGACAGAAGTTTAACACTTAACAAATTGGATAAGTACTTCAATAGTATGAGGACACAGAGTTAAGGGCCAGGAGTACATTTTGTTGCTTTTGTTGTTGTTTTTTTTTCTTTTTAAAAAATTTTAGTGGAGGGCTAAGGTAGGGTGGTAAAGGAAGGCTCTCTGAAGTTCGTGACCTTTGAGGGAAATTCTGATAAACAGAATATATAATGGTAGCAAGAATACGGCAAGAAAGGAAAAACACTCCTAGTGGAAGAAATAGCATCTGTCCAGCCCTAAGACAGAGGAGTAGGGGAATTCAACAAAAGTCAGCATAGCCAGCTCATAAAGTAAGGGAGAAAATAGTTAAGATAAAGCTGGAGACATGGGCAGGATCATATTTTTTATAAAGCACTTAATAGTTTAAAAGCACTTTAACATGCTCTCTTTTGTTCAATCATACTTGTGAAGTAGCTAATATTCATTATTCTAAATCCACTCCTCCTTAGAATACCCACAGGATAAAGTCCAAGTTACCTAGTTAAGTCACCTTGTCTGCTGATAGGTACGATAGTTACACATCTACTTGTTCCTACCATCTAAGAAACCTATATTGAACATACCTTCAAAGTAACACTTTCTAAAAAGCATGAAATATTTGAAACACTTTTTAAAAAGCATTAAAAGTAACAGCCACATATCTACCATCTGGCTTAAAAATATATCCTGACACAAGCCTTTTAAAACTATGTATTTTACAGGTCTGTCCTCTCATTAGACTGTGAACTCGCTAAAAGTAAGGACTGTGTGTTACTTAATTTAATATACCCAGGATCTAGCACAAAGCATTTAATACTTTTAATATAATGAATTCCCCAAATGCAGGTAGAAATACTTTTCACAGTGAGCTAGAGGCCACAAAACCAATGATAAATTATTGAATTCAGTTCAAGTATAAAGGAATTTTACCTTTTCCCATACATGTTTGCAATTTTGTAATACTGGATAGATACATTCACCATTAAATGGTCAATATAACTTTCAGTCCACATGTTATTAGGTCATTGTTTAAATATCTGAAGAAGGAATTCACTAAACAAATAAGCTATTAAAGTCTACTGTTAAATGATGAGAATAGAAATTTCAATTACACAACATTCATGCCTTAGAGAAACTCGAGGCTCTTCTCTTAACCATGCTTCCCACTAAAGTTTTTAGGAGAACAATCTCTTACAGAATTGGTTCAAAGTTTGGCTGCTTCCAGATTTAAACAACACACTCCACCTTAGATTAAAGTAGGATGGGAAAACAAGCCCATCACACTTATGCATATGCCCAAGATAACCAGTTATTTCCCCTTTCAGAAAAGGAATTACTGGCAGGACGTGAGAAGAAAGTTGTGTTACGAGTCTAAGTGTGTTTTGAGGGGCAATGGGGCAGCGAATACTGAAGAGGAGAATTCAGAGACCCAGTTTTGCAGAGAGAACGAAATGTAAAGTGGCACGTAGAAAAATCAGATTTGTTCATGGGTCTTTCACAGACCTTTACTGCACAGAGTTGTAACCTTTCCACAGCACTTAATAAAAGGCCTTATAGACCGTGTATTTCTTGGCTGCAGGGAAGCTTCAGCAGGCAACTATCCCGCCTCCTCCGCGCCGCCCAGCAGCCACATGAAATGTGTGACAGCCCTCCCGCCTTATAATGGAAGCTACCCTGGGCCACTGTACTGGCGCAGAAGTACGTGGGTCAGTCTGTCGATGAGCACAAGCGGTGGGGAACACCGCAGACTCCAGTCGAAGGCCGGGCCAAGGAAGGGGTCAGCCTCAACCTCCCCCTTAGCCACCACCTCAGCTCGGCCCGTCCAGAGAGAGCTCCAGTGCAGAAGACAGACCGGAGACTCCACGGCTCCACGGGCAGCAGTTACTGCCGAACCGCTTCCCAGGGCTTTCGGTCTTTCCGCACCCGCCCCGCCCGCAGTTACCTTCCCAAGTGACATCGTAAAGCTCTGAGACCTTCGCCATCTTCTCAGAACCTGGAGGCAGGGAATGAGAGGGCGGGGAGACACTGTCACGTGACCTGAGACCGGGAGGTGGCGAATTACGACACCATTTTTCATTGGCCGAGAGAGCGGAGGGGGCGGGAATCGCTGCGCACGTGCACACGGCTCTGCGGAGGGGCTGTTGGGGAAAGGGGCGGGGTCAGCTGGGCGGCGGCAGACTTTCACGGACTTTGAGGACGCCGTGGCTGAGCGCTGGGAAGTGGAGTCGGCTTGCTTTGAGGTGACTTTTTGCCAGGGATTTTTTTTTTTTTTTTTTTAGCAAATGCTGTTTTGTTTTGTTTTGTTTTTTAATATGCACCACTCTCGGTTTTTCTTTTTTTTCTATATAGGTGTATTCGTTCTCTTCCCACCCCCTAATAGTACCTTGTTCTCGTCCTGCACTGCTGCAACGTAACGTTGTGCTCCAATCCTTTATTTGCCCCCAACTTTCCTCCTTCCTTAATGGGGTTTGCTTTCCATTTTCTTTTGAATGTTCAAGTAAACTGTTACACTCCAAAAACTTTTTTAAATCTGTTGGAGGGACTAAGCGGGATTCTGCCTTTTCACATTACGTTTGTGTGGCCGAGGACTTCTTAATGTTCACCTCAATGTTTTCTTGCCAACCTGGGTTAGTCTGCCACTCTAGATTTGAAAACTCGTAAGACCAGCCAATATGTAAGTCCTTATAAATAAATGAAATACTGAATAAATGTACAAATGAGACCATCCCAGCCCCTGCACTTCGCTCCTCTGTAACCTCACGGGGGAGCCTCCTTCCTCGCCCTTTCCCACCAAGCTAATTGCTTTCAGGAACATTAGACCCCATCTACTAGACCTAGGGAGAAATGTCTGGAGTAGAAGAAATTTAGGTTCACATGCATATATTTAGTATTTAAAACAATGGAAACGTAAAATTGTAAAGGAAGAATATGTAAAGTGAGGAAAGAAAGCTAAAAATCCCTACATTACAGCCGTAGCTAAAGGACAGTGAAGAAGAGGCAATCAAGGTAGAAGAAGGGAGAAAAGAGAGTCACATCCCACAAAGCAAGGGAGTAGAACTAAAAAAAAAAGGAATTATCAATAGCATCTGCCACAGAGAAGTTCCGTAAGGACAGAAAAGACTACTGAACTTATAAACTTGGTGTAGGTTCTATATAAGGTTCATTCTCTCCAAACTTAACACACCTTGTAGAGACTCTTCATTCAAAAAAATTAAAAACCTTCCACTCAGAAATTCACATATCCTAATGCTTCAGTAGAACAATGGAATGAACAAGAACTCTATCAGACAGATTTGAATCTAGGCTCCACTGTTTAGTAAGTGGCTGACTTTCAGAATGTGTATCTCTGAGCATCAGAGTTGCTCTTTTATAAAAAAGAAGCTAGTTATATCTATATAAAAAGAAAAATATCTACTTTGAGTTGTTATCAATATTAAAAGAGATACTGCATGGCGCTCCCATGGAGGTACCAGTCCTTTGGCTATAAATACTACTTATATGCTGATAACTCCCAAATTCTCCCCTGAGACCCGATTCTGCTTTCTTGACATATTCATTTAGATAGCTAATATGCATCTCTAAGTTAACATATCCCAAACAGAACTCTGGATTCCTGCCACCACACCCCCCCAACTTGGCCTTCCCCATTGCAGTTGATTAAACTGTCTACCTAGTTGCACAAACTAAAATCCTAGGCAGTATTGTTGATTCCCCACCTGCTATGTGCAGTCTGTCAGCAAATTCTGTATTGTACTTCCAAAACTTTCCCCAAATCTATTTGCATCTCCACTGCTACTACTTCAGTCTAAGCCACAACCATCTCTCATCTGACTGTAATAGCCTCTTAACCGTGTTAGTTTCATTCTTGCTATGTAAAATCTATTTTCTATACAGCAGCCCTACTGTCTTAAAAAAAAATAAAATAAAAATCAGACTACAGAAGTCCTTTGCTCGTGGCTCTCAAATGACTCCCCCAGGCAATAAAAATATACTCTAAACCCTTTACCACAGTTTACAGGGCTCCACTCAGTGTGGCTCTCTCGTACATCCCTTACCTCATCTACCATTCTTTCTTCACTAGACCCCAGCCGTTCTGGCCTACTTTGTATTCCTCAAACATTCCAAACTCCTATCTGCCTTGGGTGGCATTTGCCCCTTATCCCTTTTCCTGGAATGTTCCTTTCCATATCTTTAAGTGGCTGTCTTCTTTTTGTCTTTTATATCTGTTTTATTTAAAACTATTATCTACTTATTTTTTTTAAAGATTTTATTTATTTATTTGACAGAGAGAGATACAGCGAGAGAGGGAACACAAGCAGGGGGAGTGGGAGAGGGAGAAGCAGGCTTCCCGCGGAGCAGGGAGCCCGATGTGGGGCTCGATGTGGGGCTCGATCCCAGGACCCTGGGATCATGACCTGAGCTGAAGGCAGACGCTTAACGACTGAGCCACCCAGGAGCCCCTAAAACTACTATCTACTTATAGGGAGGCCTTTCTTGACTATCCAATAACAAGTGGCTCCTAGTTAATGCCTATTACATCATTATGACACTTACCAGTTTAATTTTTTTTGTTTACTTATTTTCTGTATTTTTTCATTGTTATATACATTCCTTGAGAGTATGGACTTTGTCATTTTAACCTTGGAACATCCAACCTAGAAAAACCTGGCATACGGTAAATATTTATTGAATGAGTGAATTAGATACTCAAAAAATAACACCTTGTATTAGTGATTATTAGGATAATATTTCATAGTAGTGCACATTTGAACTCTACTCCTTGGTTATGGGTAGGATGTTCTCTTTTTATATCTAATATTTTCCTAAAAATTATAAACATAGTGAGTTTGGGACCATACCAATTCATTTTACATCTCCCAGCCTCTTACCACAGTATGTGGCATATGTATTTGTGACATACATCTACAAATTAATATTTGTACTAAATTGTTTATGCCTAACATTTTGTTGGATATGAATGTGGTCTATAACATGCTTTTTTTAATGTGATGCTGTCTTATGATTTTCATTTTTTTTACAAGCTTATGTTTGAGTAGTTAGAATGATAATACATCAGAATGAACTAGAGTCAGAAAGGAATAACTTTGAATAAGCCTACATTATCTTTGAGGTGGGATAAGCTTTATTTATCAAGCCATATTGGCCTACAAAGCCCTTTGGAGTGCTTCTTTTTTATGGTCAGAGTTTACTTAAATTAATATCTTCAGACATTATGAAAGACTAAAGCAACTTTTTAGATGTAATAAACCTTGTGGCATTTATAAAATGGACATCATTTAACAAGACAACATAATACCATTTGAATTGATTTTGCAATATCCAACATCATCATCATTATTTAGAATCTGTTTGCTTTGTTCTGTCTTAATCATACTGAATTAAAATATTCCACATTATGTAACAGTTTATAACCTGTATTTACTGTGACAATTATCCATGAAAGTAAATTGGTCTCACTACAAGTCTCATATAAAATTTACTATAGCTTTTAAATCATGTTATTGTTTCTAATTAGTGAATCATAGCCATAAATCCCTTTGCATTTAAGGGAAAATATTACTTATTTCATCTTCATTCCATGTCAATAGATTTTCACTGTGACACATTCACATTTGGAAGGAAGTTTTCCTTAGAGTTTTATTTACTAAAAGCCAGATTAACATGGAGCTGTTTTAAGAACCTTCCTGAACATTTTTTATTACATTTTTAAAAGATCATGTAATTTAGTATGTCCCACCCTCCAAACACAAAAGCCTATACCCCCTTTGCTGGCACAACTGTAGTGTTAGGCACTTCTAGTTTTCCCAACTTTACCATCATTTGCAGTATATGTTTTAAAATGTGCCAGCAGTTCATTTCACATCCAATTATATTATTTTAGAAAGCAAGAGAGAGTCCCTGGGAAACATTTCCAGTGAGATCACTTTGGTCCTTTCACAGTAGAATTCACAAACTGATAATTACCCCTCTGTGCCATAGTTGTAACAGTGAAAAGGAAAGTACATCCAGAAAGAGTACACCCAAAATTTCTCCCACATGAGCAATAAATTATAGCTGTTTCTTTTTAAGATTTATAACCATACTTAAAAGTCCACTTTTTCAAATGATATTTATTTAATTTCCCCCAAGTGCATATTCTGTTCTCATACACAAATACATCTGTGTATATGTAGCAGTCTTTGTGCAAAAATGTGGTTTTGTAAATACCTTTTTTGTGTACTAAAAATCCAGGAGTCTCTATGAACTATTATAGTGACCTAATGGTTTCTGGAGCCCATCTAGACTGCATGTTCTACAGTAGAACTATAACTGAATTCTTTATTTGAAAAATGTTCAAAAAGGTATTTATTCACAATAAATAAATTGCATTATGGGTAAGCTCACACACAAATATACTGAATATTGGGGCACCTGGGTGGTTCAGTCAGTTAGCATTTACCTTTTGCTCAGGCTGTGATCTCAGGGTCCTGGGTTGGAGCCCCACATCCAGCCCTGTGTAGGGCTCCCTGCTCCATAAAATTTCATGGCAGGAAGTCTGTTTCTCCTTGGCCCTCTGCCCTCCCCTCTACCCCGCTCATGCACTCTCTCTCTCTCGCAAATAAATAAAATCTTTAAAAAAACATATACTGAATATTAACTTAGACACTTTTTCTAAGTACATGTTATTCTGTTACAAATATAATTTTCATTTTTCTCCAGTCTCTCTTCTGTGATCTGTTAGCATCACTCTAGCCACAAGTGGCTTAAGTTGTTCATTCAGACCTGTAGTTCTGATGTATCTTTGTTTGTTTGTTTGTTTCCCTTGCCATCAGGCTACAAGTTCATTTCCTTTACTGGTCATCTTTTTCTTTCTATGGTCATGCTGACCACTCTTTGCTAGAATTCATTTAAATGCCAATAGCAACACTGGACACAAAGTGTCCATCTTACCTTTCAGGTCATAAATCATATCATTTTTTGCACATAGGAAGGCGTACTTAGTCAACCCCATGGATTTGTTTGGGAAAAAAGAC